AGTTCTTTAAAATTTTCCAACTTCAACGCAAAATAGGCATATACCTCCCATTATTAGCCACATAGACCGTTGCAACCGTAGACTGTGTTTTTTAAAATAAAATTAGTGATACATCGGCAGTTTAGCTGCAGTTGCTAAATTCAGTGTTTAAAAATTGTTTTAAAGTGACATCCTGAAATTTTTGTATACTAAAAATACTACATATTGAAATGCACTCATAATATTTGTTCTCCAGAGCTAGTTGTCACAGCAGCATTGTGTTACCATGTGCAATTAAGTTACTGACGTGTCGGGTGGACTTCATGTTAAGCCGTTGCCAAAGGCCTAAGTCTGCCACTTTTATTTGAATGCTAGTAATTAGTTTACGCATTTGTTACTAGAATCTCCATTGCAAAGCTATGGAGCGTTGTATAGCGTCTCAAAACTTACCATTATTTGGAAGAAGGCATTATGATGGGCAGATTGCAGTATTTCCGAGGGGATAATAGGAATAGGGTCCTGGCTTGGTCTCAGAGCCATTCTAAGTTTAAAAAGACAAAACAAACCAGAGCTCCAGCCAGACAGCAAATTAGTACAAAGCATTACAATTAAAGCAATGGCAGCAGAATGGCAACCTCAAATTGCAACATTATCTATCCTGGTTTCTGCCTCTAGTGACCAACTTCCGCGGTCCGAATGAAGTGCGCATATTGCAGGAGGGGAAACCTCAAACCTCTCCACATCAGAAGGTCCGAGGATGACCTCCGCCTATGCCATCTACCTCACTCCCCTTTTCCGCTGACAAGCTACCAACGCCTGAAGCGACACCACTATTAACCATCTAACAAAGCTTCTCATACCACTATCCGCGCATAGATGTCAGCGATAGCATCACACTAATGACTCCCTTCCTCCCTCCCCCACACACTCACACACACACACGGAATCGCATACGATTCCGTAGTCCCTTTTGTGCATTCACTTTGGACCAGTGTTCCAACCTCTAACCATGGACTAAACGGATGGTCAATAGAAGTTGGTGTCCATGATTCTTGCATTCAGGCCGGACGCAGATCCAGACCCAGTTGAAGCTGCTGAGAGAGTGAAGTGCATTCCTTCCACCTCAAAGGAGAAGTTTATTGGTTCGGTTGGCTTGTGGGTACCGACTTGCAGCACCGAATGCGTTGTGATGGGTGGTGCGGGAGGCGTACGGAGGGGCAATGTAACGCTTTGTTTAATCAACCACCTACAGGGTTGCATCTGCCTCGTACACTGGTCTTCGAGCCATGTGGAAGGCACACTCCAACCTATTTCCTCCAGATCCGTGCAACTGACCCTTGTATTACGCCCTCCACTAACCAAAGGGAGGCCTCGAAACATTACAGCTAAATCTTCTGCATTCTCTGAAACCACATATATTTTAATACTGAACTCTTTTGCATGCATGAACACATGGTGGATATCTAACCGCTTCACTGCACTCACCGTACTACATACTCAAGCAGATTACCTAATTTACATAGTAAAATCAAATGCGAACTGGGCCTCCCATATTTCGGCGAAATGTCGCGATTTATGAACAACCTCGTAATGTAATTTGTTGTTATTTTTACGACAGTCTGTCAGGTGTTTGCTACTCGCGTCCATCGCCCCCCCCCCCAATTCCACACGATTTCTGCCTTTCACCATTTTATAATATCATCTTTCCGTAGCCCTAAATTTTTTTAACATAGCACAACAGGTTCGAAACACTTCCAGTTGCTCCTTAAACGAGATCTCATCTGCATGCTCTGACGATCAAGTGTTGCAACATAACCGCACTTCGCGTTCATGCAAATGAGTTGGCATAACCCAATAACCTGCAATCTCATCACCATTACGAAATTACAATGCAAACGCCAAAAGAGGTGACACCTTAAACTTCATTTACAATTTAATTGTCCTGAAACTAGCACGATCCTTGGCGCGATCCTTGGTTTATGCATCCCTCTCAAATTTGGTTACTATCCCAACTGCTGACACAACTGAACTACTCTGTTTATATAAACATTTCAGATGGCTCACAAGGGTGACTTATAAACAACCGCGACATTCCCCATGAGCCTAAAATGACAGTAGAACGTCTATTTGATCATACTGCCAAAAGGCGTGCTTATCAGTATCACAATTTGGAGTTTATTTGAAGGTTTATCAGTAAGAGCATCATAAGCACGCATACTTGATGAAAATATGCGAAGAGGAGAGAACGGAAGGCAGCCACTAACAGTCGAGAAAGTTGGCAGCCATTAGAAGCTCAAGACTGATCTCCGGGGCAATGGGAAACTCGGGTATCTCCGAGGAGGAATTGCTGTAGCGCACTTTGTAGGCGAAGTAACTGCACACCTTTTGCAGGACATGAGAGGGTATTTCGCGAAAGTGCACAACATTCGTCTCGTTCTCTTGAAATTGACCTATTCACAAGCAAAAACGTTAACCTCATGGCCACGCTCATGAGCCTGCGAAAGCCATCAAAATTGCGTACGCCAATGTCGATGCTTAATACCGTCCAAGAACCAAATTAAACAACTTGGTTTAATAACAAACCAATTGGTTCCACTGATTTACCAAAACAATCTAGATAAGGCAACGAAACGACATCAAGAATGCCAAACTCCATCGGTCTATCCGCCCATTTGTTGAAGTTACGTTTTGAAGGACAAGTTGATAATCCTTCGTGCACTGATATGAGTCTGAAACTTATAGTGACTTAACAAAACCTATGCTCCATTCATAACCAGGCATAGCACAGCCTTCGTGATCTTATCTTTCTGACCGTTTATTGCCTCCAAACTGGAGAAACAATATGTCGTTTTATACGGGCATAGATTCATCTATTCCACTGTCAGTTAAATGACTTAACTCCCGACAATAAATTGCACTGTAAATCGAATCAATGAGTGATGTACTCCCCGAGAGGACGAACTTAACCTTGCCTGTACAATTGCAGACTTTTGAGCCCCATAAGGCATAGCGCAATTTGGACAGTCTTCGAAAAATATTCGCCCAGCTAGTGAGTATTCTTAGCAGCCTTATCCAGTACAATAATTTATAAGTGATTGATTGGAGGGACTCGAACAACAACCAGCCCCTCATTCCATAAACGAACACGACCAATGACTGCTCTTCACACACTCCAATAGTGCCATTCGCCTAAACCTACAATCATTTTGCTACCTTTTGTGCACTAAAATTTTCCATGCATAAGGCAATAAAGACAGCTTTCCCAAGGCACCACATTGGGAAACAATCGGATGACATGCATAACTGTTTTCATATAGGTGAGGTTTGGATTAATAAAAAAGGGACAAACTTATACTTGCAGAAAAAAAGATTACTTGTTAAAGTTGCCAACAATGCCGTTAAACAGAAGCTATCGACTCTAAGTTCATGATTATTCCAAAATGGAATCTGTCGTAATCACACAGTAAGTACACAGATCTCCCTTTATGTTTTGTCAGTATCCCACATCCGACAAGAATCACAAAATGTCAGGCAATACGTGTCATAATCAATTAGCTAAATGAAGTCGCATTCATACGCCTCGTTTATAGAAAAGCAAGACCATCACATTATG